CTGCACGAAGCTGCATAGTACACAGCAGATGCAAGGGCGGTTGGAGCCAAATGTTCCGGTTCATAGTCGAGATAAGGTTTCCCTTCCAAGAGGAACGCACGGAGGGAAGGTCTATGCAGTATCTTGACGACAGGGTCCACTCTTTCGAGAAAGACCCGACAGAGCTGTTGCTGGGCATACTTTGAAGGGCTCAGCTGTTCTCCAGAAGTTGAACCATGTTGCCGACTTGCCGTTGCCAGCAGACGTCGATACATCTTCAGCTGGTTACCTGCAGCCTTACGGCTCCCTTCTCTCGTACTGCGCTCATCACTGGGATGCAGTTCGGGCACCTGTATCCGGTAGAGCGTCAATTGGACTGACAACCAGCTAGTCACGTTTGGGAACAGAGATTTTCATGAGAGACTCACCTCATTCAGGAGATTAGCCCAGAATGAAGATCCCAGGTAGCTATCTGGTGTGTGCTGCCCCCCGTCCGAGTCTCCTACGGGGTCATCATCATCATCGCTGCGCGGTTCCACGCTCGCCCCAGACCGATTATTGGGGGGCAGATCATCTCTAGGAGTGGGCACATCACGGACAGGAGTAGTAGCTCGGGGGGAGAAGCTATAGCCACTCCGAACTAGGCCTCGGATGATGTCCTCCAGCTTAGCGACGCGGTTCTTTAGGTTCGCATCCGGGTCGTAGTTGGACCGCTCGGAAGCTAGTCTTCCCGATCTTCCACGGGGCAGACGCGCGCGCTCGACGGGGACGCACCTTGTCCCTAACCGTTGACAGTGGGTACAAGGGTCGAGCTTGTCGCATTTGACTTTTCGTTGACGACAGGTTTCACAACTTAACCGGACTTTAGGCTTCTGGGGATGTGGCTGGGATGGTGCTCGTCTGGAGGCGAGCTCGGCTTGCCGAGCTTCTTCATGATTCATGGTTGGTATGTACGAGGTCTTTCTTCCTCCTCTATCCTAGAAGTGGCTGGTGCTCATGAGCCAGACTTTTGGTTCAGCCAGGAGTCCGAGTGGCGAAACTTGCTTTGGGAATCGCTTAATTGAGGTCGTGCCATATACAGCCCCCTCCATTGTGGACTTGATTAAGAAGAAGTCTTGAAGAACGACAAACGGGTCTGATTCCGGGGAAGGCGACGGAAGCTGACGATGCCTCAGGACAAAACATCCCGCCCAATTAGCTCTAGTCTAGGCACTGTACTGTACGTACCTAGTTTGTGCAAAGCATAAAAAGATAGTGCTTTTGAATGTGGTTTCCATTCT